TCCCCGTACCGCTCGATGTACTTCTGGTAGGCCAGCAGAGCCTCCCTCAATCCCCCATTGTCTGCCACGTTCTCCCCCTGAACACACACACACAGCAACATCAGTGTCAACCACCATAACATTCCCACACATTCAAATCAGTTAAATGAGAGCAGAAATGCATTGCGTAATAGTGGCTTTAGGCATTGTATGTACTAGCTCTATCTATATATCAATCCATTAATGTAACATCACTTGTATGTATGTACCTTACCTGAATAAACATATTTATTTATTTATTTATTTAGAAATGAACGATACTAGACATTCTACAGGGTTCAGGTTCAAAGTTAAAATACATTTATTGAGGCAATAAAAATACATTTCAAAGGGATAGATTAGCTTAGACTATTTCTACCCCCTTCTACTTCAAGTCCCTCAAGGGGCGTACAAGTCCTGTGAGTACAAATCCACAAATCACCGAACAAGAATCAAATCTACAGGGTCATAGACCTCAGAGTGGCGGTCAAATGGAGCAAGTCACAGCTGGACAAGGCACTAGGAGGAGAGCCTTGGAGAGAAAGAACAAATGAAGGTAGCAGGTTCCTAAAAAATGTTGTATACAAATATTAAGATGAAATAATTCACAAAATATTTGAATATAATATATCTGTAGACCCTTGACATCGTCGCTCTGCCAGAAACTCTACCAAATACGTGACGAGAAGTCCGGTCTCCTCCAAGGCCCATCAGCCAGCAATTATGTGACGTCCAACCTACCACCAAATCACAGCGTCAGCTGCAAGTCTTATCCACAGTTGTTGTGGGGTAAGTCCCACGGTAGTTGTGGGGTAAGTCCCACAGTGGTTGGCCCACCGACTTTTTTCCCCTCCTCACCGACTCCAATTCCTAGCTCAAGATTTCCTCATCCTCGCCCCAGCCTTCCAGCCCCTCCTTACCTGCTCCAGGGGCCTCTTGGAACGTGAGAACAGGCGATGACCACACTAAGAAATGTAACGCAGGCGATGAGTGACAATAACGTGGCTAAAGTATGTTGACCAGACCACACACTAGAAGGTGAAGGGACGACGACGTTTCGGTCCGTCCTGGACCATTCTCAAGTCGATTGTGAATGACTTGAATTCGCAATCGACTTGAGAATGGTCCAGAACGGACCGAATCGTCGTCGTCTCTTCACCTTCTAGTGTGTGGTCTGGTCATCAAGAAATGTAAACTTTTCATTAGTGTATATACACTGAGAGTATACTTTAGTCCTGGACAATGTTCGGGACTGCGGTATACTTGTTGTTGTATACTCCGGTATACTCCGGTATACTTTATACTTATTGTTTACTCCGTAAGGTGTTGTGGTGGCCTTAATAACCCTCAACCGGATAATAGGAAGACGAACACCAAACAAACCAGACACCACGAGGGGGGGGGGGTAGCTCTCATCTTGTAACTACACTTAGGTAATTAACAATTAGGTAACAGTTGAGAGGCGGGACCAAAGATCCAGAACTCAACCCCCACCAGCACAACTAGGCAAGCACAACTTGGTGAGTACTCACAGGTAAACATGTGTGAATCACAATCGGACGCACGAGAATCCCTAACAATATTTTAAGTAAATTATATGAGAGAGAAAACGAGTGGTTGTGGTCTTGACGTGACAGGTTAGCAACTGTACAGTCGTGACACAAGCCAGTCAGATGACTGATGGGAAGTGTCGCAGAATAATGATGGGGAATATGGCACCATGAGGCACCATGATGGGAAATATGGCACCATGAAGCACCATGATGGGAAATATGGCACCATGAAGCACCATGATGGGAAATATGGCACCATGATGGGAAATATGGCACCATGAAGCACCATGATGGAGAATATGGCACCATGAAGCACCATGATGGGGAATATATGGCACCATGAAGCACCAGAGAATATGGCACCTGAGTCACCTGAGGACAAATGTGACACAATTATTTGGAGGGGACTCACCTGAGTGTTGACACCGTTGAGTGTGACTCACCTGAGTGTTGACACCGTTGAGTGTGACTCACCTGAGTGTTGACACCGTTAAGTGTGACTCACCTGAGTGTTGACACCGTTGAGTGTGACTCACCTGAGTGTTGACACCGTTGAGTGTGACTCACCTGAGTGTTGACACCGTTGAGTGTGACTCACCTGAGTGTTGACACCGTTAAGTGTGACTCACCTGAGTGTTGACACCGTTAAGTGTGACTCACCTGAGTGTTGACACCGTTGAGTGTGACTCACCTGAGTGTTGACACCGTTAAGTGTGACTCACCTGAGTGTTGACACCGTTAAGTGTGGCGTTCGGCAACAATTCATCAATTTCCGGGACACGAATGCTGCCGTATTCGTCAACAATACACTGGGCTCGCTGCTGGAAGGCCTCGAGCGTGGCGTTGCTCCACCAGGGGATGGCGTTGCCGTTCTTGTCGTTCTGGCGGCCCTCGTCGTCGAACCCGTGCGTGATCTCGTGCCCTATCAC